CCTATGCCTATGTCTATGTCTATGTCTATGTCTATGTCTATGTCTATGTCTATGTCTATGTCTATGTCTATGTCTATGTCTATGTCTATGTCTATGTCTATGTCTATGTCTATGCCTATGCCTATGCCTATGCCTATGCCTATGCCTATGCCTATGCCTATGCCTATGCCTATGTCTATGTCTATGTCTATGTCTATGTCTATGTCTATGTCTATGTCTATGTCTATGTCTATGTCTATGTCTATGTCTATGTCTATGTCTATGTCTATGTCTATGTCTATGTCTATGTCTATGTCTATGTCTATGTCTATGTCTATGTCTATGTCTATGTCTATGTCTATGTCTATGTCTATGTCTATGTCTATGTCTATGTCTATGTCTATGTCTATGTCTATGTCTATGTCTATGTCTATGTCTATGTCTATGTCTATGTCTATGTCTATGTCTATGTCCATGTCCATGTCCATGTCCATGTCCATGTCCATGTCCATGTCCATGTCCATGTCCATGTCCATGTCCATGTCCATGTCCATGTCCATGTCCATGTCCATGTCCATGTCCATGTCCATGTCCATGTCCATGTCCATGTCCATGTCCATGTCCATGTCCATGTCCATGTCCATGTCCATGTCCATGTCCATGTCCATGTCCATGTCCATGTCCATGTCCTTGTCTATGTCTATGTCTATGTCTATGTCTATGTCTATGTCTATGTCTATGTCTATGTCTATGTCTATGTCTATGTCTATGTCTATGTCGATGTCGATGTCGATGTCGATGTCGATGTCTATGTCTATGTCTATGTCTATGTCTATGTCTATGTCTATGTCTATGTCTATGTCTATGTCTATGTCTATGTCTATGTCTATGTCTATGTCTATGTCTATGTCTATGTCTATGTCTATGTCTATGTCGATGTCGATGTCGATGTCGATGTCGATGTCGATGTCTATGTCTATGTCTATGTCTATGTCTATGTCTATGTCTATGTCTATGTCTATGTCTATGTCTATGTCTATGCCTATGCCTATGCCTATGCCTATGCCTATGCCTATGCCTATGCCTATGCCTATGCCTATGCCTATGCCTATGCCTATGCCTATGCCTATGCCTATGCCTATGCCTATGCCTATGCCTATGCCTATGCCTATGCCTATGCCTATGCCTATGCCTATGTCTATGTCTATGTCTATGTCTATGTCTATGTCTATGTCTATGTCTATGTCTATGTCTATGTCTATGTCTATGTCTATGTCTATGTCTATGTCTATGTCTATGTCTATGTCTATGTCTATGTCTATGTCTATGTCTATGTCTATGTCTATGTCTATGTCTATGTCTATGTCTATGTCTATGTCTATGTCTATGTCTATGTCTATGTCTATGTCTATGTCTATGTCTATGTCTATGTCTCTGTCTCTGTCTCTGTCTCTGTCTCTGTCTGTGTCTGTGTCTGTGTCTGTGTCTGCGTCTGCGTCTGCGTCTCCGTCTGCGTCTCCGTCTGCGTCTACGTCTACGTCTACGTCTACGTCTACGTCTACGTCTACGTCTACGTCTACGTCTACGTCTACGTCTACGTCTACGTCTACGTCTACGTCTACGTCTACGTCTACGTCTACGTCTACGTGTACGTGTACGTGTACGTGTACGTGTACGTGTACGTGTACGTGTACGTGTACGTGTACGTGTACGTGTACGTGTACGTGTACGTGTACGTGTACGTGTACGTGTACGTGTATGTACTTTGAATAAAATTGTGCTTTTACAATTATAACATATACCATATTATCTTTAACATAAGTCCGTATCAAGTTCTCCATATATCGCTGAACATACTCATATAATAGAACTATGATAGTATTTTGCGAACAGAATGAGAAGTGCGCACATGGTGCTTCCTTCCGACTGTTTTTCTCCCCTTCTAGACCGAAACGAGGGAGCGAATTTTTATAAATAAATTAAAACTATATGAAATTAGTAAGCTTTAGGCCTACTATCCTACTAATCCGCAGTATTATACCCACGTTATCATGTTTATTTGGTGCGAAATAGTTTTAGTCTTGCAACTTTAGTGCATTAAAATTTTAAAGTACGGATAAAAATGTATAAAGTAAACCGAGAGTGATTTTCTTTAAACGTTCTTGAATATTCTTATATTACACTACTGGGGAAGGAAATTAGGGATATAGACATGATTTTGTATCCATTTTTCATTATTTACACTTTCTAAAATATAAGAGAATCGAAGAATTTCCTATGAAATGAATATTATTAGTACTTTATGAATTTATTTTCGTTTTTTTTTTGCGAAATCGGAAATAGCGTAAATTTCCTTTTCCGTTCAACGGAAATTAATCACAATTTTTGAGAAGGCAGAAACTTTGATCTTTTTCTCATGTTTTTTCTCATGTGAATTTTCTTTTATGTATTTGAAACAGTACCTGATTTATAGGCTTTTTAAAAACTCAAAGTAGAAAAAGTCCCACTTCCGGTTATCGGAAATCGCCGAAAAGTTGATACTAAAAATTTAATTTAATAATTATATATGAAATCTCATTAACCTAGATAAAAAAGTACTCAAATTATCAGGTTCACAGATACACACACATACACACACATACATACACACACTAAAATACGGAAACAATTTCAAAACTATGTTGTTCCGACTCAGCGAGTTGTAAAACGTCAAGATTTGTAAAAAATCGCGATTTTGTTTGCATACTTCAGACATTTCAGACATTTAAAATAGAGTAGGCCTATTATGATAGTGGAAGTAGGAACTGCATGTGGTTGGTGGGTTGGACAAAATGATAACGTTTATGCTAATAGTGGTGGTACGATTCATTTGTCTGGAGCCAATATGTCGGGAGTCTATTTGTTGTGAGCCAATATTTTAAGTGTCCATTTAAAGGGAGCCTAAATGTTAGGAGCCCACTTGTCGGGAGCCTAAATTGTTATGAAGCATTTCCTGAATATAGATTGGTGCGAGTGAATAGTGGTGCGCTCGTATGATGAACGAATGGTTGATGTGGCGTATATAGTTTGATATTGACGTGTTTGTGTAGAGACTGGTTACTGTGCATGGACTGAGAGTGAGTCCTATCTTTATCATCTTAGTGAACGGGACATATGAGTCCAGTGTCAGAATAATGATAAGAAGAGGAAACCTTTATGCATCTAGTTGATTAGTCGTCATCTCTGTTGTCTAGATGAGTAATCGTTTAATGATTGCTCACAGATATAATATATTAATATGGTAGTGGTATTCGCATATGTTATTGAATCAAGCAGCTCAAACCTCTCTAACAGCCACAACCTTTATATAGCCAGTCAATATGACGGGAGCCAATTTGCAGGGAGCCCTTTTGATGGGGTTATTTTGACTGGTTCGTTTTGCCGGGTGTCGTTTTGTGGGGTCCTGTTCTGACCGGGTTGTTTTGTCCTGAGCTGTTTTAACGGTGCACCCCATGCATGCTATGGTCCTTAAAACATATTATTTTTCACCTGACTCATATGTCTTGGGCCTAAACGGGGAAAAATGATATATTTAAAAAGTATATACTTGCTTGAGAGATATATCCTAATATATAAAAGATCAAGTGCGCGATTCTCTCCCTCTCTCTTTCTCCGTCCAAAAACTATATTCACATGCTAAAATATCAGTATCTGCAGCGATATATGGAGAACTTGATACGAACTTTTGTTAAAATAATATGTTAGGTGTTTTAAGTGAATAAACTGAAACTTATATAAGTAAGAAAATAACAAATAAAGACATTCATATGAAGAAAAAAAATTTACTTATGAAACCGAAAAAGTGTTTATAGTTATGACGAGTACGTAAAAAACAATGCCATTTGTAATATGTCAATATTAAAGCTATTTGCTTTCCATCCATGGAGTCATGCGAACTACGCACTCACACTCAGTAGTTAGTATTCACTTCAGTCCGTGTATGTTCGCTTCTGTATTAAGGTCGCTTCATTCCAGTCCTGGAAAGGTTGCTTTAACCAGTTTTAGCTAGGTCGCTTTAGTCCAGTCCTGGAAAGGTCGCTTCAGTCCAGCCCTGGTTAGAACGCTTCAATCCAATGCTTGTTAGGTCGCTTTAGTCCAGACCTGGAAAAGTCGCTTCTGTCCAGTCATGGAAAGGTCGTTTCAATCCAGTCCTGGAAAGGTCGCTTCAGTCCAGTCCTGGAAAGGTCGCTTCTGTCCAGTCCTGGTAAGGTTGCTTCAGTCCACTGCTTGTACGTTCTCTGTCTGTCGCATCTCCAAGCGGTCAATCTAATTAAAACAGACAGACAGACAGACATACAGACAGACAGACAGACAGACAGACAGACAGACAGACAGACAGACAGACAGACAGACGGTCAGACAAACAGAGAGGCAGGCAGGCAGGCAGGCAGGCTGGCTGGCTGGCTGGTTGGCTGGCTGGCTAGCTAGCTTGCTGGATGGATGGATGAATGTATGGCTGACTGACTCACTGAGTCATTGACTAACTGACTGACTGACTGACTGACTGACTGACTGACTGACTGACTGACTTACTAACTCACTAAGTAATTGACTACCTGATTGACTGACTGACTGACTGACTGACCTTCTGACTGTCTGACTGACTTACTGACTTACTGACTGACAGACTGACAGACTGACTGACTGACTGACTGACTGACTGACTGACTGACTGACTGACTGACTGACTGACTGACTGACTGACTGATTGACTGACTGACTGACCTTCTGACTGACTGACTGCCAGACTGACTGACTGACTGACTGACTGACTGACTGACTGACTGACTGACTGACTGACTGACTGACTGACTGACTGACTGACTGACTGACTGACTGACTGACTGACTGGCTAAATGATTGACTGACTGACTGACTGACTTACTGACCGTCTGACTGACTGACTTACATCTGTTATATAAATTATAAACCTCACACTAATATATGTGTATAATAAATATTTAAACTTAGCTTTACCAATCATGAAGGCAATCCTGTTCTCTTTGGTGTCGCTTTCTATTGTCCAGGCAAGCCGCACTGTGACCCTGTTGAATGACGACATCAACGCTTCTCTGAAGGCTCACAATAATGCTCGAGTAGTTGCCAGGGCACCAGCTCTGGTAAATTAACGACTTTGTGTTTGGTGTATTGACAGCGATTGTATGATGCCCCATCTTTAGATTGTCTGTTAACAGCCCTAGTGGCTTCAAAGGCTCCAACTTTGGTAAACTTAAAACTTTGTGAAAAATTAAGTTTGCCATGATTTTGTTTGTGTATTGCCAGTCCTTGAAATTTGTATATGGTTTTATTAAAGTATTCCAAGCCACAGAGTGTACAACTAGTATTTACTTGTATGTTGCAAGCCATAGCAAGTTGGCCATGGTCTTTTTATGCTAACTGTAACCCTCACTCAGTGGGGATGCTTTTACCCACTGAGGTGTTGTGGTTAAGACGGGCTGACCCTGAGATTAAGTACACACCGACGCCGACAGTTGTTGTCCAGTACTCGTTTATTTATAGCATCGAGCCATGACGGCGATGCAACACAAAACGAACTAGCCAAGATAGACCAAAAGATCCAAACAATCCAAAAGACCAAAAGATCAAAAGATCAAAAGATCAAAATAGAAACAGAAAACTGTAGCCCTAAAACAAATGTAAAATAAAAAAGTTACATTCAGGACAACACCACGTGTAAGCTACAATATACACGGGTACAATAAATTATGTTTTCGGCCAGTACAAAGTACTGCCAACAAGTACCAATAAGTAGTACTACAAAATAAATACTTAATTTAATACATCACCCTAACTAGTGTGCACATGCAGCACTAGCAGGAATACATAAGTATTTAAACAAACATAATTTATATATCTACACTACCTTCATTAGGTCTACATCTTGGTCCACAGACAGCAGCCTTGCGTGTGCGACACGACTAGGCCCATGTCACATGACATGGAACACAGGTAATTTCGCTCACAAAAGCATAAAAAAACGTCAACAGTTCAGTTGCAGTCCCACAGGGGCCGCAACCCAATGAATAAAAACTTCATAGTTTTATCCCCCTTTGGCTGGTAACCATATTTGTTACACTAACTACCGTATGTAGCGAATTCGCGACATCATACACTATTGGACCAATGTTTTAAAAAGTGTAGTCCGTGTCCTTTTACTATTTTTACGGACACATTTTTGTGTAGATATCCATGCATTCAATAGAATATCACAAACCAAATTTAACAAATGACCATGCAAGGAGATGTAGACTCGCTTGTAAAATTCATGAAAACTACAGTTTTAGTTGTTCAGGCATAGAGTTATATTACCCTACTGTAGCTGCTCACTGTATAATTTGTATTCATGGGTACTTTTAAGCATTGCTGTCAAAAAGCTTTCGATGCGTTTGAGTCAAGAGAGTGTGACGTCATAAATGTCGACTTAACAAAGTGACTTTTGATATGGATATGACCGTCTGGATGTACCCAATACACTACGATTGGTAGTAGTAAGGCAAATAAAGCTGTGCGCATATGCTAAGCGCCAAATTGGTATGTCACGTTTTAGTAAAAGTCAGTGTAAAAGGGCTAACTAGTGTTTCAAACCCGATAAGTTCAACCTGCGTTTTTACCGTGCTTAATGTCTTTAAAAAGTAACATGCGCAAACGTAGACGTAAATGTTAACGTAAACATTAAGGTAAACTTAAACGTAAACCTAAACGAAACGAAATCAAAAACGCTATCTCGAACTCAAACGAAAACTCAAATTCAAACTTAAACATTGTTTTTTAATTAAAAATTTGGCATTGTGAAATATTACTTAAAATTAATGCTAGCCATAACACACTATGAAAATTTAAAAAAAAAATTCAGTAGTGTATTTAAAACAAACACTAGTCATTTGCTTCTATTATTGTAAATAAAAGAAGGATCAAAGCTTACATTGAAAAGGCTTGACTCAAAATATTCACATCGTTTCATAGTAGGCTGTGTCCGGCCATCTCGTCTCAACAGCAATGGGACAAAACACAAGCTATCTTTGCGGAACAATATGCAAGAAGTTGAGTACGTTTTCTTTGAACATTAATAATATCAAGCGAGAACTGATTTATTTCTCCAGGTTAATTAAAATAACAAAGCTGAGTGATATATATACCCATACACTGCATCCCAACTAGAGGTTAAATTAAATTAAAAACGGAAATGTATTTGGTGACGGAAATTTAATTGTAATGAAAAAGGCAATTTAAAGTTGTTAAGGAATCAATCCTTAACAATACTTAATAAAAAAATTAAACCCGAAATTGAACTAAGAAAGGAAATTAACCAAAACCGGAAATTTATCCAAAAAAGAATTTTAACGGAAAACGGAACTGCAACCTGACCTATAATTTCACTAACTCTGGAAATTAAAACAAAATTTTAAAGGAAAGTAAACTTTATCGAGAGATGGAAATTTGACTGGACAATAGACATAAGTAGAATTGTCTATTTTAAAAAATCAGCTTTAAAATTATTTATTATAGCTTAAATATTTAAAAAATAGGTTGCAATAATATTATACGTTGCCATTAGATACGCTTAATATATCCTTCAATTTTAGAATAGGAAGATAAAAAAACTATTTCATGAATATATTTTATTAATGTTTTTATTTAATTATTTAATAATATATTTGTTCATTTAATAGTAGTATTGTGTAAATTAACCCTATACTACATACCGTTGCAGTTTTGCGACAATACTTTAGAAGTAATTTATTACTATCTAACTTAATCTTACTTATTTTCTTCGTTATATTTATAAGGTTTTATGATTTGCTGTTCAGACCTTAAGCTTCCCTTTTCTTTAGCCAGCCACCATGAAGTCCATCCAGTTGTTTCTCGCTATTTTAGCTGTGGCCTATGCCGGTGTGTCCGTGCCTCTGACCACAGCCAACATTGACGCGTTTCTAAAATCTCACAAAGACGTGAGGGCGGCTCTCAAGATTCCATCCCTAGTAAGTTGACCGTTTCTTGATATATTTAGTAAGTTGACTTTTTTATATGTTAGCAGGTTGACAGTTTATTGATATACTTAGTAAGTTGATCTCTTATGATATATTTAGTAATTTGACCTTTTCTTGATATACTTAGTAAGTTGGCCTTTGTTAATATATTTAGTAAGTTGGCCGTTTCTTGATATACTTAGTAAGTTGACCTTTTTTGATATGTTAGTAGGTTGACAGTTTCTTGATATACTTAGTAAATTGATCTCTGATGATAAATTTATTAATTTGACCTTTTCTTGATATATTTAGTTAGATAAACGTTTCTTGAAATACTCAGTAAGTTGACCGTTTCTTAATATATTAAGTTAGATGGCCTTTGATGATATTTTTAGTAAGTTGACCGTTTCTTGATATATTTAGTAAAATTACAGTGCGTTTAAAATATTTAGTATGTTAACCGTTTGCTAATATATTTAGGACGTTGATTGTTTGTTGATATATTTAGTAAATTCACCGTTTGTTGATATATTAAGTAAGTTGACCGTTTCTGGATAGATTTAGTAAGTTGACCGTTTCTTGATAGATTTAGTAACTTGGCCGTTTCCTGATAGATTTAGTACGTTCATCGTTTGTTGATATATTTATAAAAATTTGATCGTTTCTTGATACCTTTTAAGTTGACTGCAAACATTCCCAGTTAGTTGACAACCAAAAAGAAGAGAGCTATATTGCCAATCATTGTTGACGTGTTTAGAAATCACACGAAAAACAATGTTAGTTTATTGTTATCTTTATTGATGGATTACCACTAGATCTAACATCCAGTTATGCTCGAGTGGTTTCGCTCAGTGTTAACACAACATTCCCCGGTTCAAGCCCTCGTACAGATGAGGCTCGTCAACTAAGGACAGCAATCCATGTAATAGATAAAATCAGAAATCAAACAAGAGTGAAGCCCCTTGGGTGCTAAGGACAGCAATCCATGTAATAGATAAAATCAGAAATCAAACAAGAGTGAAGCCTATTGAGTGCTAAGGACAGCATTCCATGATGTAGATAAAAAGATATATTGAACAAGAGTGAAGCCCTTTATGTGCTAAGGACAGCAATCCATGTTGTAAATAAAAAGATATATTGAACAAGAGTGAAGCCCCTTGTGTGCTAAGGACAGCAATCCATGTTGTAGATCAAAAGATATCGAACAAGAGTGAAGCCCCTTGGGCTATACATTTACCAACTGTGGTTTCCTTTTGGGATCTTCTACGTATTGCTTAGCATTGCCTAATTAACACACACAGAGAGAGAGGGAGAGAGAGCGAGAGAGAGAGAGAGAGGGAGAGAGAGGGATAGAGAGAGAGAGGCAACCTCTGATCTCTTCATTCAATGCCCTGTATTTGACCATAGGACATCACTCTTCTTGATGCATCCATTGCCTCCCTACCCTCAACTGATCCGTATAAAAACTCTGCTGATAGTGAAGCAGAGAAAAATGTAAAACATACCATAAACCAGCACTTTTTTTACACGCCAAACCTGCCTTATGTTGACCGATCGCAGTTATCACCAATTTCAGAGTTCCCAAGAAATGTATTTATTGTTGAGACTCGCTTTTATTCAATTCAAAACACCTCACACCGCTTTGTCTAGTACTTTTGTTTCTTCCCGTTTCGAAACAGTTCACAGTAATGTCCCGTTGCTAGTTGCTATAAAAACATTTCCCGAACAATCGTTCACTCTACTTTTAAAACTTGTATATGCGCGTCGACCTTGGTATACAAATACATAAACACCCCGGGGGTTAACTCAACTAATAAACACGCTATCCCCCGTGTTCTGTATTATTCTAGCTTAACCTCTAAATAACCCGCAACATTTAGCTCATAAAATCACGTACACTTGCGTGAATGTTGGTATTTATTGAATAACATTTTTACGATGCTTTTTATACAATAAGGAATGTCTGTCAGGGTAGGTTTTTGATTGGAAAACTAAGAGCGTATTTTTTTTTCTCACAAGGTATGGAACACCACGTTGGCCAACTACGCCAAAAACTGGACAGCCCAGTGCGCTTTTAAACACAGCTACGGACCGTATGGAGAGAACCTGTACATGTCTTCACGTAAGCCAAAAGTTTTGTAACACCGCGTTTACACTTGCGACATGTATAATGTACATGTTTTCACGTCAGCCATAAGTTCTGTTACACCGCTTTTATACTTGCAACATGTAAACTATACATGTCGAAAAAACCTTACCATTAACAGAGTAGGTCCCCTCCCCATTTATACATTTAACGCATGGCGACATTTGGTTTTCTAGACATGTATAGTATATATGTTGCAATGTATAGTACATGTCGCAAGTGTACACACGGAATTATAGCTCATTAGCTGGACACGAGTTTATCTATTACTGTTGCTGCTGGTAAATCAGATTCTAAGCGCTATTCTTTGTGAGTTCTTGAGGCGAGAATGTCGTAAACCAACTAAATTCTATATGTTCGTACATAGATGTATTTGCTATTTGTGATCTTTGTAACAAGATTTGTTCGAAGCTTAAGTCGATTTTAGCACTAAAGTTTTGTTACCGTGTTTTTCACGCGACCATGTGTAGATCGAGACTTTCGTGACTTGGAATGTTTATAGAATGATAATTAATAAACCGTAATTTTTATACATTGCTGCAATCTAACATGTGCTTTATCTATAAAGACTCTATAGTTTTTGATGCAGTAGATAATAGGGTAAAGTCAATTTAACTAATCATATATGTCGTATTGAATGATGTAGAGCAGGGGTCTCCAAACTTTTCAGTCCGAGGGCCGCATTAACTATCAAATTTCAGTTCGGGGGCCAGTTTCTTCCTGGCATGTCTTTGATGTTTCTGGGTAAAGTTCCTCGGCCATCACCAACAAACGTTTTTTTCCATGGACAAAATGATCTCCGGGGGCCGGATGAGAGGACCTCGCGGGCCGCATTCGGCCCGCGGGCCGTAGTTTGGAGACCTCTGATGTAGAGCGTAGAGTAGTGACTATCCATCAAATTGAACTCATTAATGTAACCAATAGCAACCATCAGTCGATTCCCATGCACAAATCTGAATGGTACACTACCTCGTTTTTTACTTTCTCGTATATACGTGGTATAGAGAAAGTATTGTAAGCGTGCAAAAAAAATCGAGATTTTTACAAATCTCGACGTTTTACACCTCACTGATACGGAAAAACATAATTTTGCAATCTTGTCCGTATGTCTGTGTGTCTCTGTGTGTGTGTGTGTCTGTGTGTGTGTATGTGTAAACACGATGAATTGAGTACCGTTACAGCTAGGTTGATGAAATTTCATATATAAGTATTTTATCAAAATCGTAGATCCGTATCAACTTTTGAGCGATTTCCGATAACCGGAAGTGGTACTTTTTCTACTTTGAATTTTTCAAAAGCCTATAACTTGAGTACTATTTCATATAGATAAATGAAATTTCACCTGTAAGTAAGAGATCTCATTCTCTACCTTCTGTTAAATTTTAAGTAATTTTCGTTGACGGGAAGTATTAATTTACGCTATTTCCGATTTCTCAAAAACGCATCTAAATTTATAAAGTACTAATAATATTGCGCACCATTATGAACATCTTTATTCGGTGTTCGCTTGGTGCGCAATACTTTTTTCTATGAGATTCTATTCTATTTTAAAAAGTTTAAGTTTAAATCATAACTAGATCTATATCCCGAGTTCCCATCCCCTGTTGTTTTATATAAGAATATTCGAGAAAGTTTAGAGGAGATCACTCCCGGTTTATTTAAATATCAAATCTGCGTTACAAAATACAGTTATATTCGCAAGTTTACTTTTATTTGTTTTTAATATGATTTTATTTCTAACCGATGTATTTCTGTGATGTATGATTTTAATGTACTTTGACTATATTAAACTTCTATTCCTGTTGTTGTGTCAGGAATAAGTAAACCTATCTGATTTCAGCATTGAGCTCAAATGCCACTGATATAGCCTACAAGAGCGCTTCTGCCTGGAAAAGTGAACTGGTCAATGTGGTCGACTTCACCAAATGGTCGTGTATTACAACATCACCAACATGTGGTCACTATTCACAGGTCAGGTTTTGTCTAAATGTAGGCCTATAATGAGAGATGTCTGAGTATAACGTGGTTTAGTGATAGCGCTCAAAAGTCACGGGTTTAATTGACCGGTTCGAATCTTAAGCTCTTCATTGTTTCATATTAATGTAACTCAAGTCAAGGGAGATTAATGTGGCAGGACATCTAGCTGAGCACATAATTACATTGTATGTTGACAGTAAATAAAACCGATGGTCTTTACTTCATCTGTAATGGGGACCATCAACATTGAAGTAGAAATTTTCAAACAGCATTTACTGAGGAATCGATTAAAGAAAGAAATATTCAAACAACATGGGACGGTGTGGCATAGTGGTAGAGAGCTAGACTGCTAACCCGGGAGTCTCGAGTTCCTTGAGCCCACCCAACTCTGATGGGTACCTAACTTACGTTAGGGAAACAAAGGCTGCTGGGCATATTACTGACCACACTATCCATTCGTATGTCGGGAAAAGAAACGTATGAAATCTACTTCATCTGCCCCATCCATCGTTAGGTCTAAAAAGGCTTCTTTACTTTTCTTTATAAATATATTTTGGTACAGTTAGTTTTAGAAAAGTTAAGATGTAATTATATTGATGTAAAATTTGTTGTTGACAGATGGTGTGGAAAAAATCAACATCGGTAGGTTGTGCCTTCACTCAGTGCGTCAATGTTACTGGAGCCATGCCTAATCTGGTCTCATGTAATTACTACCCACGGTAAGTACAACTTTCATTTAGTTTAATAAGTTAATTACCACCCACCGTAAGTACACATTTTATTTAATTTAATAAGTTAATTACTACCCACCGTAAGTACGCAATTTATTTAGTTTAATAAGTTAATTACTACCCACTGTAAGTACGCATTTTATTTAGTTTGATACAGTTATTTTCTACCCACCGTAAGTACGCATTTTATTTAGTTTGATACAGTTATTTACTACCCACTGTAAGTACACACTTCATTTAGATTGGTAGAAGTTTACAACTACCCACCTAAATACACCGTTCATTTAGTTTGATAAGTTAATTACTACCCACTGTAAGTACACATTTCATTAAGTTTAATACAGTTAATTACTACCCATCGTAAGTACGCATTTCATTAAGTTTAATACAGTTAATTACTACCCACCGTAAGAACACATTTCATTTAGTTTGATACAGTTAATTACTACCCACCGTAAGTACACATTTCATTTAGTTTGATACAGTTAATTACTACCCACCGTAAGTACACATTTTATTTAGTTTAATAAGTTAATTACTACCCACCGTAAGTACACATTTTATTTAGTTTAATAAGTTAATTACTACCCACCGTAAGTACGCATTTTATTTAGTTTAATAAGTTAATTACTACCCACCGTAAGTACGCATTTTATTTAGTTTGAAACAGTTATTTACTACCCACTGTAAGTACACACTTCATTTAGATTGGTAGAAGTTTATAACTACCCACCTAAATACACCGTTCATTTAGTTTGACAAGTTAATTACTACCCACTGTAAGTACACATTTCATTAAGTTTAATACAGTTAATTACTACCCATCGTAAGTACGCATTTCATTAAGTTTAATACAGTTAATTACTACCCACCGTAAGAACACATTTTATATAGTTTGATACAGTTAATTACTACCCACCGTAAGTACACATTTCATTTAGTTTGATACAGTTAATTACTACCCACTGTAAGTACACATTTCATTAAGTTTAATACAGTTAATTACTACCCATCGTAAGTACACATTTCATTTAGTTTGATACAGTTAATTACTACCCACCGTAAGAACACATTTCATATGTGCCTATATGCATAGTAAATTTCTATATTTATTTAAGTATATACACTTGATAAAAGATAGCAATATTTTTATTAGAAATTTATTTCAAAATATTTATTAAAAATAAAGAATTTAAGATTGATATTTTTGTTTAATAATTTTCTTTTGTCATGATTTACTACAGGGGCAACTACATTGGTCAGCTGCCCTATTAGTTCTGGCACTACATGTAACAACTGATGAGGTCCATTGGTACTTTGATGGTCGAGAAGTCGGAAATTTGAAATAAAGTATAAATTCAAATTGAAATGCCGTATTGTTTTATGTTCTTTTAAGATCCTAACAAAATTACCCAGATGGATTTAGAAAATTAAAATATATGTATTCAACGTTTCGACATATATTGGACAACTTCATAATCAATCATAATTAATTCTAATAATATTCTATATCATTCCTTCAAATTGAAAAGTTTAGTAACTGTTAGGCTCAAACGTTGCTTTACCATAATAAAGTGGTATTTTAATATTTAATCGCTTATTTTAAAAACCATCAGTCAACAACACAATTTTACCTGAATATGGTTACATCTTAACGTTTTGTAACATTAACTGTACTAAAATATATTTATAAAGAAAAGTAAAGAACCCATTTTAGACCTAACGATGCATTGGGCAGATGAAGTATATTTCATACGGTTTTTTTTTCTCGGCATACGAAGGAATAGTGTGGTCAGCACTATGCCCAGCCGCCTTTGTTTCCCTAACGTAAGTTAGCTACCCATCAGAGTTGGGTGGACTCAAGGTACTCGAGACTCCCGGGTTAGCAGTCTAGCTATCTACCGCTAGACCACACCGTTCCATGTTGTTTGAATATGTCTTACTAATGTTTTCTGTAAACGATTTCTCACTGTTTAAAAATTTCTACAAACACTATCACTTCAATGTCGACAGTCACATATCAATGAGAAAATAGTAGAACATAGCCCTACATATATAAAAAGTACAACACATCTGTAAACGATTTTGGTTCATGCCATAGCCACTACATCAGGGAATGTGTGTGCAAAATTTAACACAATCTAACAATAATTGTGGAAAATAACTGGAAGACAATTTGCAAACATGTCGTTTTTCGCAAACTTTTCGTATACTAAAAAAATTGTTTTTCTTTCATGAGAACAGCTAATACACTCCAGCTAAGTAAGGATGGTCCTGTTTTTCGATTCTTTCTCCTCAGCACGTAATTCCTTATAGCTTCAATGACTTCTGTTAGAAGGTAATAATGTGCTTCATATGTGTATTGGTGTTTTTAATTTATGCAAGTCCATTATACGTCAAAAAACTAATTCTGACCTTTCCACGTCTCAACTTTGCATCACAAATGCAGTTCATCTGTTCACAATATTTAATTTTTTTTTTACCAACAACTGAGAGGATAAGCTTAGAAGCAACCAGATTATCTGTTTCATTTTGTGTTATTATAATTAAATATGCACGAGCTGGCTAGCCCCTTTCTCTCATTTCTAAGAAACAGTAACATCAATGACACACAAGAGCGATGAAATAGTTTCTCAGAGAATCGCTATCTATACTTTATTTTCATATTTTCTAAATAATTTTCTAGATGGGTGACTTTAATTTTATATTTAATATTATTTATTTTTGTTTTATTCAGAATCACCATTGAGAAGTACTTTTCCTATGTATTCTTCTATTTAGTAGAATCTTGAGTCTGCATCAATGTATATTTTATTGTTTTGACTTTGTGGGTGTGTCCACCTGGTTACCAAATCTAAATAAACCTTTTTATGTATTTTAAAACTGTTAGTTAGCAAACTAGTCTGTTTTTTTTACATAAACATAATCTGTCTTTTTCTACAGTTTCCCTAGCTGTAGATTGCATATAACAATCTTTTATACTTAGAATACTCACTTTCTATTATAGGTTTAATTTATTAAATTTTAATACCTCAAAACAGTGTAATAAGCCAAAAATTGAGTGAAATGTGTCATTATTCTAAGTACAATCTCTAAACTACTAATACTCAAGTTTGTTTACATGTTTGAATATTTATTTGTTTTTTTGTTTGTCTGATTGACTACTGGAGAGAATCTGCTCTATGTGTGGAGCTGTAAAAATAGTATGTAGGCAGAGAACAATTTTTGTTTTCAGACAGACTGTTATTCACATATTTATTTAATGACGTTGATTTCAACTGTCTTTTTCATTTAGTTTTACAATAAATTTCTCTAGCTCTACAATCTGTCCAAGAAAGTTATTTATTGATCTAAATTATTTATAGATCTAGATCTAAATATCAGGTGGCCAAGAAAGTAATTTATAGATGTAAATCTAGAATCTAGGTCGAACCAAAGATTAATTAGTTAAAAATACAATCCATTTTAAAATCATAATACATTTTTAAGTTTCTTTATTAAGCTACTTTAGTCCTTAAATGCTTGATATAAATATTTGTGATTTATCTATCTAGATCTAGAATAGGTCTAATCTAGATCTAGCAAGAGTTACGCAAAAAACTAGACTTAAGCAAACCAGTTGTAGAATCTAGATGATTATTTCTAGATCTAGATAATAATGAGTTTCTATTCTAAATTATTTCAGACCTTCATTATTTTATATAAATCTTTGTTTAGCTGTGGAATTGGCTGATTTAAGATAAACTTTAATTTCAAAGTTATTGACTTATATCTAGATCTAGGTAGGGCCTAGGCGCATAAATCAAGTTGTATAAGGAGACTCAAAGTATTATTATATAGCACAAAAAACATCAGAGACGTCACGAGTCTAGATAGCTAAATTGTTAGTGTAATATGCTTTCATGCAGGTGGCACGGGTTAAAAAAAAAATTACATGTGAATGATAAAGTTGCCTATCTAGGCAGGTGAAGTAGAGTTCATCTGTTTCTTTGTCCTAAGCATATGAATGGTTAGTGTGGTCAAAGACATGCTCGGCTGGAATCGTTTTTTTAAACGATAAAAACATGTTGTCTGAGACTTAGCGGGACACTGGGCAGGTGAAGTAGAGTTAAGTAGGTCACCTGTGACGTCAATATATGAAGGGATAGTGTGGTCAGACTAATGCTCTGCCTACATCGGTCTTTTTAAAAGATAAAAAAAAACGTCTTTTCGAATGTGTGGTCTGGTTATTTTGTGATGATAAGTGACAGACGTGATGTCATTTGTGGATGACCCACGAAACCCACAGTTATCCAATGGATGACCGAGTAAGTCTAGTAATATCTAATAGAAAGTACCTTGAAATCGTGAGAAGCTAATTATTCTAATAGTAAAGGGAGTGTTTATTGTTTATTTTTATTACTATATCGTTCATTACCGAGTGTAGTAAAAGGCTTACCATCCGACATTTTCCCCATTTTTGACCTTATGACGGACTACCCCTACCTACTTTAGAAGCTAATAACTAAAAAACTATGTCACTCAGGACAAATGAATGCATACAGACGGATAGAGAAATGGATTCTGAATAAAATAACATTCAATTTTTAACATTATTCGAAAAAAAAAGATTTTTTAATAATTCTGGGTTTGCCTGCCCCCGTACGCGAATAGCCCTATTATTTCAAAGTAAATTTTATCCCAAGTTAGTCAATGCCATAGCTAAACAAAGATTTCTATAAAATAATTAAGGTCTGAAATAGCTTAATATAGAAATTTATTATGGGAATAGAATCTAGAGTAGCTAGTCTAAATCTAGATATTAACGAGTACGTCTAGTTTTTCCGTAAATCTAGTCTAGATGATGTAATAGATTGAAATAATTGTGAGGTCAAGGGAACTCACTCTTCTGTATTAGTATTATATTTATATTGTTATCTTGAGTGATGTCCCTTACATGTTGTTATCTATAAATAGTTCTCTCTCGCTACTCACTTCCTCTCTTTGCATCATGGCGTCTGTAAATAAAGATTGTTAACACCAACGCGGCTTCTCGTCATGGTTTGTCAATCTACCTCATTTGGCGACGAAGGATAAACATCTACTAGAAAGAGCACCTATTTACGCAAAAAAGAGGTTTGCTAGAGCTTATTAGCTAATTATTTCTAGAATTATGGCGCTGTATGGCCAAATGAAAGAATTTGATGCGAATGATGAAATCATTCAAGATTACCTAGAGAGGTTAAGCTTTTACCTAGAAGCTAACAACGTGACGATAGAAGCCAAAAAGAGAGCTGTTTTGTTAACAGTCATAGGGCCTCAACAATTTAGGCTACTAAAAGACTTATGCGCACCAGAAAGTTTAACTACCAAGAGCTTTAACGAGCTGAGCAAATTGCTAACAGACCACCATGCGCCTACCCCATCAAAGTTTCTATGTCGAGCTAGATTTGACAGTAGGACTCGTCAACCAAACGAGTCAATATCAGAATATGTTGCTGCTTTACGTCATTTAAGTAGATTCTGTGAATTTGGAGAAACGCTGTCCGACAGATTATGTGAAAAGTTTGTGACAGGTGTAAACAGTCCTGATGTTCAAAGAAAGTTGCTGCTCGAGTCAGATCTAAAATTGGAAAAAGCAATACAACTTGCAATGTCAATCCAGCAGTCATCAGATGCGGCGAGATCTTTAGCACCTTCAGAGATCCATGCAGTAAACAGCAGGTTAGTCAATAAACATCAACCTCATCAGAGCATTCCAACTTATGCTAAACAGCCTGCTCGTTCAAATCCTAGATCTAAATCTAGTAATAATTATCAAAAATGTCATCGATGCAAAGGTCCCCATGCATCTCATCGGTGCAAGTTCAAGTCTGCAACTTGTTATAAGTGCGGTAAGCAAGGTCACATTGCCAAGGCCTGCTTTGCAAAGTCTTCGTCTGTTGCTAAATCTAGCCAGTCAAGACAGTACCGCAACCAAAAGCAGCACTATGTTAACTCTCACCAAGACTACCTAACCCAACCAGTGAACCACTCTACCTGTGAAAATGCTCAAACTGATTCGCAGCCGGATTTCAACCTATTCTCTGTGAAATCAATAAGTCATGCTCCCATCAATGTACAAGTTAATATCAACGGTAAGAGCATCAGCTTCCAACTTGACACTGGAGCATCTCTAACAGTCATAACAAAGAAGGACTTTGACGCTGTCACAGGAGGATCAGTGCCTCTACAGCCGTGTCACAAGTGTCTAACAACATACACTGGTGACAATGTTCCGGTAATAGGAGAGTGTA